ATTCAAATTTCGCCATTGCCTAAGGCAACTATCCTCAACTATCGATCTGTATTTCACATTTGTTTTCATCATTTCAACATCATCCAATTACGTGCCAGAGGGGATCTCGGTTTCCGTTTGTACGTGTTCCCAAACCGTAAGTGCTTTCTACCTACTGTGTGCTTCGATATTTTTTGAAGTCACCTTTTACTGCAACGGAAAAATTCACCTTCATAGCCTAACGACGTAAGATATTGAAACAGAACAGTGATCGATCTAGGGGACCCACACTTACCCCTGAACAAGTATGGTTAAGATTAGGGAAGAACAAAACGGATTATCTTAATTACAAACTTAAAAATTCACGCTTAATATAGCACTGAAATGCGCCTTCCGTAAAAAAAAAAAGAATAATTTTAATCATCATTTCAAGTGACGCTTTGTCAATTTTTCGCCAAAAAATATCCTTAAACAGGGAGGAAAACAGGTTGTAGAGATTAATGGAACTTCATCACGGAAAGCTAAAACATTGCCTAATTTTTTCAAGTGAGTCCTTTGCAATCTGTCTTAATGTTTCTCAGTCGTAACCATTCTTTTCTTTTTTCAGTTTGTTGCCACTTCTTTAGCGTTTTTCTATTTTAGGAAAATATTATTTTGAATTGAGGTTTCCTTCATTTTAAAACCGCAATTAAAATTAACGTGGCATACCCGGCGTACTTTCTCCAATGAATGCCCCCGGGGTTCATATCAAACTTGGCCTTATGTTTTCTTGAATCCTGCGGTTCAATCAGTGTCCGTTGGCCCCGTTGTTTATGAAGAACCAGTTTTCCTTCATTTGTTTTGACAGCCGTAAATCATTCCATAATACCTAAAGATTGTAACGTCTCGGATAAAAGCTTGACGGCCTTATTTGCAATTCCACCCTGGAGAACCGGAGTTTGTTCGGGACCTGGTATTTGAATGATCGAGTGAATAAGGTATCTCACGGCCTTTAACAAACTACAATTTCAACTGCTTTATTTGGAAGGGAACGACTGTTAAGTGCCAAAATAAATCAAACTTCGCAGCTCATTGCTCTAGCAAATACGAAACTCGAAACTTGATTGATTATGACATGATTTGTAATGCTCTTTTTTGATCCCAAACATTTCTTATCAATATACTTAATTATAATTATAATTATAATATACTTATAATGTTACTTTTGAGAATTCAGTAGTGATATTAGAGACAACATAAAAATGGGTTTGACTCTGGCATTTAAAACGTTGAAAACATTTCGTAAAAAAAAAAAACAACAACAACAACAATAAAAACACAAAAAGACGTTTCGACCGAAGAAATTAACGTGGTAAACTGCTCAAACTGCGACTTCATATATCATGGCCAAAGCGGAAGATCTGCTAAAGAGCAGAGTCTCCCTCGATTCCGATTTTTCTAGGAGATCATAAGGGGTCTGATGTTGATTTGAATCTCTGTATGAGATCAACTGACCGATTCGCGTTGCAATTATACGTTGAATTTAACTGGAAATACGGTCAAATAGGACTGCTCTGCTCCCTATGTAGCTCCCAGAACAACTCTTTAGCTTTCGTGTTGTCCGCACAGCCCACACAAAACAAATTCACTCGAAAGTACTGCACAGTTTATAAGCTGTGATGTTTTCAACTAGATTCTAAGGCTTTATCAGAGCTAGTCAGACACTGTCTGTGAACATATCAGAGAATCTGTTTACATATGAAAATTCGCCATATTTGCGGTGTAAATTCGTTAAATAAATTGTCCAGCAGCCAGATATCCAGATCGGATCAGTGTAAAGTGGCTTCATTAGTACGGGAATTTTACATCAGGATTGAATCGCGGGCGGTCTTAAGCACCACGACCTCACTCTGTCTAAGGTTTGGTTGTGGGAGATCTGGGACCCGTTTCTCTGCGTTTCTCGATGACCCCGAAAAGTTTTCGCAACCGAAAAGCCGTAGCAAAATCTCAGACCTTGTTACTAAAGAGCTGTTTTATGCACATACTCTTAATATGAGCAGAGGCTCCCTTCATACGAGAACTTTCAGGCGTAAACACCTCTCTGTCTTTAAATACCGATTGACTGAAATTGGCTTTGTGGGCCCGAAAAGTTTCCGGGGGTTTCGAGAAACGGGCCTCTGGGCACAAGATAAATGTCACGATTTCTGATGTAAAAAGATACTTCTCAATTATTGCCTTTTCGAACTGGCTCACTGCAATAGAAGAATCATAGCCACGTTTTGCAGAGGATAGAAAAAAATTCCTAATATTTTGAAACAGTAAAAATGGCCAGAAAAATGCTCTACATGAAATTTAAGCAATGAAGTGGTTGTCGCCACGTACGAAAAGAAGATTGAAATCTGAAACAAGAGACTGACATGAAACAAGAAAAGGCTTCGAATACGGTAATCCGTGAAAACAGCTGCCTGTCAACGCTCCCGCAGCCTGTTTCGCTTTTTAACTTGAAAAATGAGGCTAACGGGCAAAAGTTTTCAAGATAGCCATCCACAACAGAGCTTCTTTAACAGCGACAAATTCGTGGAAAGTTCTCCGTATTTTGTTATCAGTATAACCTGCGATCGGGCGTTGGCCCAAAAAAGAACACCTGATCACAGGTTTTCGTCAGTAAAGAAACATTAGGCTGGCACGACAAACATGAAACGGCATAAATCGATATCAGTGAATGTTGCTTGTCCAAAGAGCCGCGTGTGTGGGTGCTAAAATGAGAACACTCAAGAAAAATGCTTTAAAGGACCGTCAAGTGGTTCATGATATGATGCAATGACCGTTACGTTTGCGAAATAGCTCGTAGCCAATCAGAGCGCGCCTAATATCCTGGCCATTATATAACAAAGCCAAACAATTTTTTCTAAAAGGTACCTTTTGGAATTTAACTACTGTTTTGACAGCTGACGAGCAAAGACGAGAGGTCGTAGCATTCAAAACACAAGAAAACAAGAACTTTATCGTAAAAATACTTTTTACATTTACAAAGAAAACATTCAGTGCTGAACGTTCCTCGACAATGGAATTTCTTGAATACCACCACAACAACCCTCTGTCAAAATTGTTTGCCATTTGAAACTTGCTACCTTATTTTTTTATTTGCACGACGATGTTCTAACTCGGGTCATTATTCCATATTCTGTTAACGTTTTCACGTTTTAAAACAATATTTACTTTGACTTTCTTCCAGCGCAATCAATTACTTCACTGCGTGTTTTTCAACACAAAAAACTGCTGATATGCATACTTTTTCACACGCAATAAAACTCGACAAAAACAATCCCATTACAGGGTCATAGGGTGTAGTTTTTCATTGGGAGTTGGAAAACGCACTTGGAACAGAAGCAACGAATTTGACTGAAAACACAGCGTTCCCTGACTTAGTGAGAATTTAGCTGAATCAGCTGAACGTTTGCCTGCAATAGAAACTACCAGACACTGAAGTAGGAGGAATGTTTTTCATATTTCTCTAATGCCCTTAATCAGTTACCCGAGTTTGAAATTAACGCATTAACTCCCACGCTTGTCATTACATCCCATTGAAAGGAGATTTTCAAGCTTGATTGTCGAATGAACGAAAATTATGCCAACTTAGAGCGAAATAAAAATTAAAGATACTTGAAACATGCGTCTCGGGCGCACTGATAACAACATTCGCTACTCACACAGGTCACGAGATATATGAATATATGAAAGCAATATAACCGAGACAAAAGCAATAAAACTTAACTTTTCCTGAGCGGTCAGAGTAGATTTAATTACTAACCCCGAAGGTAAGACATTTGTTCCTTGGAGAGCTAACACAGTTAGTAAGGTCAAATTAATAAAGCGAGAGACTCTTCTCCCTGAGCCGAGGGATCTTAAGAAGACAAGAGACGTCTTGAGGCTTGAGTGCTGTATCAATGAATTCACTATACACAAAGGAGCATTCCAGTGAAGGTGGAACTCACAAGTGTCAACGTACATTGTCATTGGCAAGTATCTCTTGTGGTTACTTCAACACACAAAGAGCTGTTATGGTATCCGCTGTGCAAGAGATCTAACAAGGTTTGCTTCATCGAGAGGCATTGACACTGCACGTAGAAGGACAACGGACGGTTTTATTGTTTTCTGGGTTTGATTCTCAGTCGCTTATCAGCCATTCCACTTAAGGGATAATCAAAGCATTCCAATAGACAATCATTTTACCGGATTTCAAGTATTTTATCAATTAAACATCATCTTTTCACAAGATTTGTATATACAAACGCGGGTTAGCCCATTAAAATGGCTTTTATTTCACAAGCCACGAGTATAGTGCAGGTAGAAGTGAAAGTATGAGTAAATACTGGGTTCTATAAACCGATAACGATGCGTTAATAAGCCTTATGTGCGAAATATTTTGCCCTTTCAAAGGAATCGCTTATCGCCAGCGGTGGATTGAAGACCACGCTGAGAGCGGGGTCAAAAAGGCGAGTCTGCAAAAACCAGACACTGCAAAAACCAGACATATTCTGTGTCGATGTGGAAAAAGATTATGTGCCTTACTCTAGATAGCGCAAGAAAACAAGATGAATACAGCTAATTGCTTCCACGTTTATGCGCGACACGAGAACTGCGGCTTAGAATTTCATACTCCTGTATGCCTCGTGTATTCTTAAGTATGCAAGCAAAAATTATCGGGATAACTTGGATTTCAAAGTACTAACCGCTAACCGTCTTGTATTTGCTGCTTTGCAATTCGGATAATCCGCCCAATGAATCGGCGATTTGGGGATCAGCATCTCGTGGAATGACAGTCCTGAAATGAGCGATATTGATCGATAACACCAGCACTAGAAATCCAATGGCCCTGCAACACAACCAAGGAAAGAATCCTGTTGAAAATTCAATCGATATTAACCGCCAAGCAATATCAGTATGTAGCAGTAATACCTTGTGGCCATGTTACTGCCGAGAGGACAAGTTTATCCGAGATGGATTATTCAGGTCGATGAACTAAACACCCCCACACCCGGCAACCTCGACTACAAAAAAATACATTGCACAGGCCACATTCTCCGGTGTCTTCACACAAATTACCGGAAATTCACGCAGTGCACTGATTGGCCAATCTTTAACCCATCTACACATGATATCACCTAAATAGGCGAGTGTGCGTAGAGCAAGAATGACACTTGAAATACAGTATGTAGAAATACGGTAAAAACACGAGAAAAACTTTGACGCTCTTTGGTATTTTTCTGCACTGGCGAAAGATTTGTGAGTTAATAGAATATGTTTTCGATATTTTCTTGTCAGCTTATCTCGTCTGGCTGACAGAGAAATGCAATCGGATTTCATGTGATGAATGCTATGTGTTTTTTGTTCCACGGGGAGCCTATACAACTGTGGAGGACATGCCTTCTTTATTAACTATCTCACAATACTGAGAATTTTACAGCAACCTCCAGTTGGTACCCAAAGATAGGTTGCCTATCTCGATCAGGCAGTAGGTCCCATGAATGGCTTGATACCCTTTGTTAGAACAATAGAACAAACAACAGAAGCAATGCCCTCTAGCCCTAAAACAATAGCAGCTGCTGTAATGACGACAAACAGAATTACAAGCCTACGAGAGCTGCTACCCCGGGGGGTACTCCCAGAAAAATTGGGTGGGGGTGTGCGGGCCGCCTCCCAAACCCTCACCTTGTTTACCATATTTATGACCGTTGCAGCTGGCACAGGTGGCCTAAACATTATTCATGAAGGGCTTTTGATGATGGTCTCATCGATGATGACGAAAAAGTAGCTTCTAAAAAATACACCCAATTCAAGGCTTGAGTGCAAAAACCCCACCTTATTTATGACCAAAACGGCTGAAAAACCATATCCTTTGGGGCCGCGCATACCTATATAGCCAAAATAAGGAGGTCCTCCCCCCGCCGGGCCTGCTACACTTCCGATCGTTATACCACAAGCATTTCGTCACATGGGATTTCACGGATATTCCCTCCTCTCGAGAACCCGGCTCCGGTACTCCATGTGCTACTTCAATTGTCTGTGAGACTTGTAACCATATACTCTTTATGTATACATCCTATCTGCGTATTTCAATTCTGTTTTCGTTACTGTACATCGGCGACTGAAATATTCCTGGACACATTGCAAAGGCAAGGCCTTGTTCTCAAGTGGGTGAACTGAAATTGTTGATGATGATATAACATTGCAAGAGCGTTTCGCAACTCATACATTTAACGCCTGTGTATAATAGCGGGGGCACTCCCAAGCGAATTGGGTGGGGGTTTGTGATGAGTTTCTTAGCCTGTTAACAGGCTATGAGTTTCTTGAAACCCTTGTCCTGTTTCAGACCGAAATTCGCGATTTTCCCTATACTCTATTAAACCGGGGGGGAGGTACTCTGTAAATCTTTGAGTAAGGGTGTGCCGCAGGGGTATATAGCTTATACATGGGAGTAATCCCTGGGATATTTCAAACCCGACCCAAATTTCGATGCCCTATTTTAGTCCTGATCCTTCTAAAAACACACCCAATTCAAAACTAACACATCTAATTCAAGATCAGAGTGCACAAACCATGCCCTACTTTGAACGAAAACAGTTCAAAAGTCATACCCTCTTGCGCCACTATATGAATATAGCGCATATAAGGGAGTACACCTCCCCCGGGAGCCGAAAGCTCTCTTTGCCGGAGAGAATACTAGAATACGCTGCTGTACACAAGGAAAAACAACTTTTGCTAGCTTTAACAACTTTCCCACGATCCCATTGAGTGCTTTCTGGCTTTCCCATTATCCCATTGAGTGCTTCCTTTGGCTATAATTTAAAGAGGACATTTTTGAAATTTCTTGTGAGATAGCTGGGTAAGGCAACCGACAGATAATGAACTTCTAGCCTTTAAGTGTCGGATCAAACGACATTTTTTCCATCGTCGGACAAATGAGGTTAATATGTACCGTCAAAGGGAGGTCAAGACTGTTGTGTCACCGGTGAAATTGAGATGCACTTTTTATATATGCGACAGATATTCAGTTCAAGGTATCCGACTGGGCCTAGGTAGCTGTTGGTCTCGTTGGGTATCCTCTTATATGGCCGGGTACAGCTCATTTATTCTGTTGTTAACTGTGAGTAGCCTAACAGTGTGCGGTTGCTAATTAACAAAATGGCGGCGGCTTGTTTGCACTTTCGAAACGTCTGTGAAGAGGATTTACATGAAGTCTTGCACGACTAATAGGTTTATACTATAAAAAAATAATAAGATTATTCGCTCTCGATTTCTATGTGTGATATTTGACTGGGATTGCACTTCCGTTAACCATTTTACAATTGGATTATGAGCTCGAAATTTCTATCGTGTGATAGTTGACGAGGGCGCAATCCGAGCCCACAATCACGCATAGAAATCGAGAGCGAATAATCTTATTGCCTTAGCATAGATCTACTATTCGAACTTACACTAAATCTTCCTCACAGACACTTCGAAAACAGAAAGAAGTGGCCGCCAATTTTTTATCCACTGAACACTGCTAGGCTACTCACTATCTACAATAGAATAGTGAGTAGAGTAGCCAGTCAGAGAACGGCATTCGTGATAGAACGCTAGTTGATTTATACTAACACGCGATAGAAATCTCGAGCTCATAATCTAATTGTTCAATATAAGTCCGCTCCTAACAGGGTCTGAAGTGTTCTTAACAGGGTATGGTTGCACGATAACTGTCGTAAAATGTAGTGTATACGCCAGGGCGGCGGGGTGTACGCATTCCCTAAAATGTATGGCTGGCGTGTGCGGCCCAAACTTTGAAACCTGTACCGCTATTCCAGAAAAAAATCTGTGATATTTCATACCTTATTACACACCTGAGCGAAAAGCGGCTCATTTAATTTTCAAACCTCTCAACAAAAAACCCAGTGCCAAGCCAAAATGCCTTATTTCAAATCAAAATGGTCAAAATCTATATTCTTTCTCAGACCAAAACCCGGCGCTCAGAAAAGCGCCGCACGTATCTATAACGTAACGGCCACCCCCGGTTCCTTTGGTGTATACAGTACTCAGCAATCCATTATAAGCCGGACGTTGGTTTGTTGATATTTAGCAGGTCGTCTATCAACGTGAAATAATTTTCAGGACAAGAAAATAATTGTATGGTTGTCAAATAAGCACTTTATAACGACTGGCCACACCGGAAATAGTGAGTTTTATTTCCCCGAGACCCTCAATGTTCCCCGAGGCGAGACGCTAAAGCAAAATTCACGGTTTACCGTGGGGCCATATACCTTCCATCTCAAAAATACAAACTACGAAAAAATTGTTTACTTGACCCCGGCTGGGACACAAACTTGCCGCGGTTTCAAGGTGCAAAGCCTGATCACATCCGAGTCGAAAGTTCAAGGTTGATGTTTCTCTAGGGAGTTAGGGAGTTTTAACCCATGCCGGGGAACCATAGCATGCGAGCAGACTCACCTTTGAGCCACGTGCTCGAGCGGCGAAGAGCAAAGCGCTCCGGCGGGAAGGGGTCTCGATTTCGCGCTAGCGGCTACACCGTGCGCGCTTGTGGTCCAACGTGAGCCTGGGGAACCATGACACATACTCTTCCCATTGGAAAATGTATTTGAGTTGGAAGATATATATAACAATCTGATTTCCCTTAATTCCACACAACTGACAAGGTGTTGTATTACAGGGTATGTGTCTCGAGTTTTCTAGATTCGAAACATCGACAAGCTACCAAACCCCAGGTGGTACCCCTATAGCCAATCATGGGTCAAGAACACCCCCAGGGATTTCCCCGCGCGGTGACAGACCCTTGCATAGCCTCATTTCCGTGGCCTTTTTCCTTGGTTGGTGGCGGGGGGCGGGGAGGGCTACGGGCGGGAAAAGGCCATTGGAACGAAGCTGCACTGACTCTGCAGCCTCACCACAAACTAGACCGTGTTATAGTTATTAGTGAGAATAAATTCGGGCGATGTGCCTTGCCTGCTGGCTGAAAAGTTTTCACTGGAAATTTGCCAGGAATTAGAACTTGAGATGTTTCAGCTGGGAACAATTAAAAGGGAAAATTGTTTTCAAAAGTGCTAATTTGTTCATCCATTATGGTCGTAATGGTCCCGGATGAATTCTAACAAATTTATTGGCTCATTGTGCGCTTGTGTATCGCGGAATGGGGTGAACCGCAGACCTACGCATGGCCTTTTCCCTTACCCCTCCCCTAAGCAAGGGAAAAGGCCATGGGAACTGGAACTGGAGCGAAGACATCTCGTTTATGCCGTTTGTGCCCTTTAGTGGCAATAAATGGATTGATGATTTGTCTCCTGCGCATGATTGCAATGTTCGATCTGTCATTAACGACGAAGCTCGACCCAATAACCCATTTCACCCATTTCCGAGTTGCCCTAAGCCTAGCCTCTCTTTCAAAGCGAGGCCTGGTGCACAACCATTCACATGAAAATGAGTTCAATTTGCATGTGAATGAAACCTCATTTTCATATGAAAGGTGGGCACCAAGACTCACTTTGAGAAAGAGGATAAAAGTGAGTAATTCCGAAATGGCCTTTTGTGCACCGAACCCACCATGTCCAAACAAACAGAACAGGAAAAAAAACCGCTTAGTTTTTGTAAAAAGGATATACTGTCTAAACTGTTTACTGATTTTGCCATCTTTAATCTTGCGCGTATTCTCCAGAATCTTTGAGCCTGAATTGAAAAAAGCGAAATGCGTTTCGGAATTTGACCGCAAAGGCTTAGTAAAGTGGTTTCTTCAATTTCGGGCAACGTTTGTGACGAAAGCTTGCGTCAAAAGGAGGAATAAAGCTACGTTGAACTGAAATTCTGTGTGAGAGTCCTTGATCCGTTCGAATTCCAGTTGCCACAAGTATCCGGTATCCAGAAAATAGGGACAGATTTCTACTCTCAAGCAAACCAAGCGAGTTGCTCAGAGTTAATTTTCCATATTTTTCCCCAAGTTGCGTTAATACATGCATAATTTTTCATAAATGTACGACAATTAGCCTTTCTAACGCCGTTTTTGAGTTGATAATTCAAAAGAATTTTTATTCTCAAACGAGGTTAGTGAGGATAATTTTAAATTGGCAGCCATTTATGAAAAGAGTCTGTTTACCGCCGTCAAGTTCCGTTTCCAGTTTAATTACAATTCAGCAATAGTTATACCATATGTAAAACTGAGAAAATCTTAAGTTAAAAACGTCCTAAGCTTTCTTAGTTCTCCACGATCTATTAATTACGTGTTTGAAGCCGGATCTTAAGATACATGGAATAGTTGTTTTTTTCGGGTCTCGGGAGTAGGAATGAAATTGGGTCGTCTCTGCTATTAGACATTTCAGGCGTAAGTTTTCGACAAAGGGATTCCCTTCTACTAGCAAAAGAAGTACCTCTAGCCAATGAGAGGGCTTGACTCTGCTCCCACACAACAGCAATATCCGGCTATAGTTGAAATGCACTGATGAGTGAAGGAAAAAGCGCGAACGGAAGTACAAAGTGCAAGATCAGAGTAAATATGTATAATCTCGATTTTTCGTACCTGCATATACTATTCACGGTTTTTAACACTCTTCACAAGACATCTAACACGCTAACACGCTTAGTAAAACTGCGTTGTAGCTAAGAGATATCGTACATCTTTCAGCGAAAGCCCCTCTAGATTAAGAGCATATCCTGTAGGGTGGAGTTAGGTTTTCGGTCATTCAGCTCTGAGAGGGGATCTCTGTTTCACCCTGTTATGACACTCTTCCCGTGGTATGTTTTGTTCTGGTTAAATCATTTTAACATAATCCAACCGATTTATTATTATATGAATTTCAATTCTAACATGGGGTGACGCTCCGTTACAGCAGTTTAATGGGTCGTCAGGCAACGTTTACTCTGCGAGACAGTGATTCTTTCTCTTTCTGCTCGGTGGAAGACGAGAGACAGAGAAGAGAATCTCTGTCTCGGAGGCTAGGCAACGTTTCTCTCTACCGAGAGAGGTAGAATGGTGTCACACCCCACCCCCATCCCCCCACGGGAAAGAAGCTCACGCGAGATGTAAAAAATTGATTGATAACTTGATGCGTCTGTCTTAAACCAAAACTCCTTTTAAGTCTACAAGAATTTGTTCTTTCGTGATTGAATCCAACCGCAACTGAAGGCACTAACCTTTAAACTCAGCTAACTCCTCAGTCTCACTGTGGACTTCGGTATATGAGCGAGGTAAGTCTGTTCAAATGCTTCACATGTTCTGCAAGCATGCACATACAAAATACATTTAATGAACTTATACAAATTCAACAACCTTTGGCTCAATTTCTGAGCAGAGCATTCTAATTCTTCGCGCTTTTAAATCAATATCACTGATCTTTCCCCTTTTACACTCGTCTTGTTGTTTTACCAACTTCCAAGAATAGAAAGTTGAAAACTCGTTTTCTGTTCACCGGTCATCACGCGGAAAATCACGGCGGCTTGCTATGCTTGTCATTTTAATAGATGATCTGCTTATCAATCCCTTACTTACCTGTTTAGAACACTCAGATAAGCTAAATTACTACGACAACTAACTCGAAGCGATAAGACTTGAAATATCAGACATATCACAGACATGAATCAGCGATTATTAACTGGAGAGGAACAATTTTTAAATCTGCCTCATTCTGATCTTTATAACCCAGGACGGGGAACAACAAAGCCATGATCAGCTCTTCCTCTCGGGCGTGTTTAAAACACGACATGGAGAAATGAAGAGATGGCACTTAACTATGTGGGACACGTTAAACCCATACAATTTTTGAAAGCTAACCACCTTCAAGTCAGTGATATTTAGGCTAACTGGAGCGCTATTTAGGCTAACCGGAGTGCTATTTAGGCTAACCGGAGCGCTACTTAGGCTAAACGGGAGCGCTATTCAGGCTAACCGGGAGCTCTATTTAGGCTAACTGGAGCGCTATTTAGTCGAATCTAGGCTAACCATAGTACCATTTCGTAATTTCGTGATTCCGTGTTTTAAATACACCCCTTCCTTTCCATAGTTTCGTTTCGTGTTCCTCAAAACGAAACATTTTTTTTTTATCATTACTATTATTTACTTTTTGTTCCGGTTAGCGTTACTATGCTGAATGGATCAGTAATATTACATTTTACATGTATTATGTCTGTTTACAAAGCACTCAAGAAATGCTTCTTAATTTTAAAAATTCAAGCGTTGTTTGGTGATCCGAACAACGCTTTGTAATTTGCAATTGTAAGAATTATAATTTTGTAAATGGCAGTCATGGGGATATTATATAGCGGATTATGTGAAAGAAAACGTGACCTGGGTAGCTCAAACTTGTAACATTTCTACCAATGTGCTAGGTCAACACGGGTCCGCCAGGACGTATCGTATAAATCGTTAAAGCCGGTGAGACAGCAAGCGGAAAAACTCCCACTTCCGTTCGCAAGGAAGTCGAAGACCAGGGCCAAGTCACATTTTTCGTTTCTTGTAATCCATAAACACTCACTGATATAACACTAAGCGTCGTTTTCTAGTGCTATGAAACAGAAGCATTTTAAAAGTCATGCAAACTTCAATTTCTCTGGGGTAAAATGCTCTTAAAAATTTCATACCGTTATTTCTTGCTTAAGATACATTTATGGAAAGAATTTATCTTGTTACTCCAGAACTGAGTGAAGGATCAATCTTACCTTCTTACCTGTGGAGAATTTTCATTCTGCCTCCATATTTGTTTGGGTGCTCAGCTGAACGGCCAGCTGACTCAGCTGACTAGTTTCCAATCTCCCAGCGGCCGTAAAACGAGTGGTTCTAAAAAGGGGGTTGTTTTTCCAATCATGTAAAAATGTTTTGTCACTTTTTTAATTTACAGCCTGGCTTTTTGATTACAATAAAGGCTAGCCATTATTTGTCTTTTATAGGGTCTGATTAAATATTGTCTATACTTCTGTAAATTACGATGACAACCGGAAGTTGAACCTCGCTGAAACGGAAGCGGATGAACGAAAGGCGGAGCCCATATATGGAATGACCTTTGCATAAATTATCATATAATGTTCGTAAACATGGCTGAAACAGCGGAAGAATGTCCAACTTCATCAGAAAATGAGGTAAATTGTCAATCGTTTCCTTTCACGGCAACTTATTGCTACCGATTTATGTTTATGTCTCTGGATTAAGTCTTGAACGTTCCCTGTTGTCCTTCCTTGGATTCAGACATTTGTTTGTAGTGCGAATTTACATGAAAAATTCATCTGGTTGAAAACGCGCCGCATAACGCCGCGTGAAGATGTACGATGAGTGCCAAGTTTGTTGTACTTTTTGAACCAGATGAAAGTCGTAGTGTGTTTATTGCTATCTTGTTATAGTTACCCATGTTTAAAATACATTTCCATGTAATTTTGATGTGATAAAACTGTACCTTGATAAGCTTTGTTTTTCATAGCCTTAAGCTAGTTTTAGGTTTTGGTACATCAACGCGTATTTAGCATCTTGCGCACTGAAATTACAATCCCCAATTGAAAGTTTTGTCTAGGAGCTTCTTGTTGGCAGGAAAATGGTTTATTTCGTGTAGAAAGCTCAAATTTAATTATATGTATTTGAGGAAGACAAAATTAAGAGAGCTTTCGTGTTGTAACCATATATACTCCATGTCGGGAGTCGATTCAATCGATAAGAACTAATTAGTGAGGAACTTTACACTGTACCTTCTGTTCTATTGTTCAACGAAGCGTCCTTTCCAAACCCATTGTTCGTTGTGTCATGTTTTAATAATGTTTATTGTGGGCCTGATTTTTCACATCTTTATTTATATTTTACGCTTGCGACGAAACACGGTTTGCTATAGTAAACATTAGTATAAGATCGAATTATAAATCAAATATTGTCGACCATTTCATTTAAGTGTATTAATATCAGTATTTGTTTGGGATGTAAGCTCATAGAATGATCTATTTGAAGTCGCATACAAGCGATAATTTTAAGCGTTTTAAATCACAGCACCATATCTACCTGGGTAAACCATGTTTGACATAATCAATGTTAATCGCCTTTGAAATATTAAGTGTTTTTAAAGTAGTTAACTGTACATGAAATGTTAACTTTAAGATTTGTGGTAGTATAATTTTGCTACATGTAAACATCTAAAGATTACAGGCCCCTCTACTCAATTTTTTATGTCAAATTTTGCTATCAATATTGCTAATATGACAACCTGCACTGTGACTTTTAGTATCGGCATTTAAGGAATTTGCATATTATTGCTATTATTTCATAACGTGTTGTGCTATATGTAGTCTATTTATCTAATTGTTGTAGTAAGACTTCTGTTATACCGCTATTGGAAATAACAAAATTCCTGATGATCAATGGTGCCATATTTTTTTCAAGCAGTTATGTCTTATATGTGGTGAAAATCTTGAGAAATTTTTGAAATCAAATAATCTGCTACTCCTTGCCTGACATGGTTGAAAGTTCTTGAAAGTTCCTGAAAGTTCTTGAAAGTTCAAGACATAGGCAATTGCATGAAAGTTTTAAATAAAAATCTACTTAAACATGGTATGTTCCCAAATGGTCCTTCTAATAGCACAAATTTCTAAGTAATGACTCATTGAAAAAAGTCTGTATTTAGAACATTGATAGTCCTTGTAAAGTCGACCTTGAATTGTTCCCAAAAGAGGTTATGAACCCTTGATATGGCCTTTACTAGTCTTGGAGATATTGTTTGGTTGACTGGTGTTAAAATTAGTTCAAGACTTCAAGGTTATCAGAACAAAATAGCTATAGATGTATATGAAACTAAATAAATATGGTTAAATTTGGAAATACAGTTGACTATAAAAAGAAGCGAGAAAACTGAACTACATTTTGGTATCATCTTGGCACCATTATCAAGTGAAGAACTCAATTGAACAGATAATTTATACCAAAAGTAAAGGTGTGAAAAAGAATAAACTAATTGAGACTAAAAATAGAAATAAAAATAACTGTTCAGTGTCAATCCAATCCAATCAATTCACGCCTTTACTTTTAGAATAAATTATCTTTTCTTTGCATTCTTCACTTGATAATGGTGTCAAGATGACACCAGATATGAAACTGAAAGTAATAAAATGAATAAGAAGAACTATTTTGAAAAGACTGGTTTTTGAGCAAAAACCCACACTACTATTCCTTAGATTTTGATCTTAANATTTCTGAGCAGAGCATTCTAATTCTTCGCGCTTTTAAATCAATATCACTGATCTTTCCCCTTTTACACTCGTCTTGTTGTTTTACCAACTTCCAAGAATAGAAAGTTGAAAACTCGTTTTCTGTTCACCGGTCATCACGCGGAAAATCACGGCGGCTTGCTATGCTTGTCATTTTAATAGATGATCTGCTTATCAATCCCTTACTTACCTGTTTAGAACACTCAGATAAGCTAAATTACTACGACAACTAACTCGAAGCGATAAGACTTGAAATATCAGACATATCACAGACATGAATCAGCGATTATTAACTGGAGAGGAACAATTTTTAAATCTGCCTCATTCTGATCTTTATAACCCAGGACGGGGAACAACAAAGCCATGATCAGCTCTTCCTCTCGGGCGTGTTTAAAACACGACATGGAGAAATGAAGAGATGGCACTTAACTATGTGGGACACGTTAAACCCATACAATTTTTGAAAGCTAACCACCTTCAAGTCAGTGATATTTAGGCTAACTGGAGCGCTATTTAGGCTAACCGGAGTGCTATTTAGGCTAACCGGAGCGCTACTTAGGCTAAACGGGAGCGCTATTCAGGCTAACCGGGAGCTCTATTTAGGCTAACTGGAGCGCTATTTAGTCGAATCTAGGCTAACCATAGTACCATTTCGTAATTTCGTGATTCCGTGTTTTAAATACACCCCTTCCTTTCCATAGTTTCGTTTCGTGTTCCTCAAAACGAAACATTTTTTTTTTATCATTACTATTATTTACTTTTTGTTCCGGTTAGCGTTACTATGCTGAATGGATCAGTAATATTACATTTTACATGTATTATGTCTGTTTACAAAGCACTCAAGAAATGCTTCTTAATTTTAAAAATTCAAGCGTTGTTTGGTGATCCGAACAACGCTTTGTAATTTGCAATTGTAAGAATTATAATTTTGTAAATGGCAGTCATGGGGATATTATATAGCGGATTATGTGAAAGAAAACGTGACCTGGGTAGCTCAAACTTGTAACATTTCTACCAATGTGCTAGGTCAACACGGGTCCGCCAGGACGTATCGTATAAATCGTTAAAGCCGGTGAGACAGCAAGCGGAAAAACTCCCACTTCCGTTCGCAAGGAAGTCGAAGACCAGGGCCAAGTCACATTTTTCGTTTCTTGTAATCCATAAACACTCACTGATATAACACTAAGCGTCGTTTTCTAGTGCTATGAAACAGAAGCATTTTAAAAGTCATGCAAACTTCAATTTCTCTGGGGTAAAATGCTCTTAAAAATTTCATACCGTTATTTCTTGCTTAAGATACATTTATGGAAAGAATTTATCTTGTTACTCCAGAACTGAGTGAAGGATCAATCTTACCTTCTTACCTGTGGAGAATTTTCATTCTGCCTCCATATTTGTTTGGGTGCTCAGCTGAACGGCCAGCTGACTCAGCTGACTAGTTTCCAATCTCCCAGCGGCCGTAAAACGAGTGGTTCTAAAAAGGGGGTTGTTTTTCCAATCATGTAAAAATGTTTTGTCACTTTTTTAATTTACAGCCTGGCTTTTTGATTACAATAAAGGCTAGCCATTATTTGTCTTTTATAGGGTCTGATTAAATATTGTCTATACTTCTGTAAATTACGATGACAACCGGAAGTTGAACCTCGCTGAAACGGAAGCGGATGAACGAAAGGCGGAGCCCATATATGGAATGACCTTTGCATAAATTATCATATAATGTTCGTAAACATGGCTGAAACAGCGGAAGAATGTCCAACTTCATCAGAAAATGAGGTAAATTGTCAATCGTTTCCTTTCACGGCAACTTATTGCTACCGATTTATGTTTATGTCTCTGGATTAAGTCTTGAACGTTCCCTGTTGTCCTTCCTTGGATTCAGACATTTGTTTGTAGTGCGAATTTACATGAAAAATTCATCTGGTTGAAAACGCGCCGCATAACGCCGCGTGAAGATGTACGATGAGTGCCAAGTTTGTTGTACTTTTTGAACCAGATGAAAGTCGTAGTGTGTTTATTGCTATCTTGTTATAGTTACCCATGTTTAAAATACATTTCCATGTAATTTTGATGTGATAAAACTGTACCTTGATAAGCTTTGTTTTTCATAGCCTTAAGCTAGTTTTAGGTTTTGGTACATCAACGCGTATTTAGCATCTTGCGCACTGAAATTACAATCCCCAATTGAAAGTTTTGTCTAGGAGCTTCTTGTTGGCAGGAAAATGGTTTATTTCGTGTAGAAAGCTCAAATTTAATTATATGTATTTGAGGAAGACAAAATTAAGAGAGCTTTCGTGTTGTAACCATATATACTCCATGTCGGGAGTCGATTCAATCGATAAGAACTAATTAGTGAGGAACTTTACACTGTACCTTCTGTTCTATTGTTCAACGAAGCGTCCTTTCCAAACCCATTGTTCGTTGTGTCATGTTTTAATAATGTTTATTGTGGGCCTGATTTTTCACATCTTTATTTATATTTTACGCTTGCGACGAAACACGGTTTGCTATAGTAAACATTAGTATAAGATCGAATTATAAATCAAATATTGTCGACCATTTCATTTAAGTGTATTAATATCAGTATTTGTTTGGGATGTAAGCTCATAGAATGATCTATTTGAAGTCGCATACAAGCGATAATTTTAAGCGTTTTAAATCACAGCACCATATCTACCTGGGTAAACCATGTTTGACATAATCAATGTTAATCGCCTTTGAAATATTAAGTGTTTTTAAAGTAGTTAACTGTACATGAAATGTTAACTTTAAGATTTGTGGTAGTATAATTTTGCTACATGTAAACATCTAAAGATTACAGGCCCCTCTACTCAATTTTTTATGTCAAATTTTGCTATCAATATTGCTAATATGACAACCTGCACTGTGACTTTTAGTATCGGCATTTAAGGAATTTGCATATTATTGCTATTATTTCATAACGTGTTGTGCTATATGTAGTCTATTTATCTAATTGTTGTAGTAAGACTTCTGTTATACCGCTATTGGAAATAACAAAATTCCTGATGATCAATGGTGCCATATTTTTTTCAAGCAGTTATGTCTTATATGTGGTGAAAATCTTGAGAAATTTTTGAAATCAAATAATCTGCTACTCCTTGCCTGACATGGTTGAAAGTTCTTGAAAGTTCCTGAAAGTTCTTGAAAGTTCAAGACATAGGCAATTGCATGAAAGTTTTAAATAAAAATCTACTTAAACATGGTATGTTCCCAAATGGTCCTTCTAATAGCACAAATTTCTAAGTAATGACTCATTGAAAAAAGTCTGTATTTAGAACATTGATAGTCCTTGTAAAGTCGACCTTGAATTGTTCCCAAAAGAGGTTATGAACCCTTGATATGGCCTTTACTAGTCTTGGAGATATTGTTTGGTTGACTGGTGTTAAAATTAGTTCAAGACTTCAAGGTTATCAGAACAAAATAGCTATAGATGTATATGAAACTAAATAAATATGGTTAAATTTGGAAATACAGTTGACTATAAAAAGAAGCGAGAAAACTGAACTACATTTTGGTATCATCTTGGCACCATTATCAAGTGAAGAACTCAATTGAACAGATAATTTATACCAAAAGTAAAGGTGTGAAAAAGAATAAACTAATTGAGACTAAAAATAGAAATAAAAATAACTGTTCAGTGTCAATCCAATCCAATCAATTCACGCCTTTACTTTTAGAATAAATTATCTTTTCTTTGCATTCTTCACTTGATAATGGTGTCAAGATGACACCAGATATGAAACTGAAAGTAATAAAATGAATAAGAAGAACTATTTTGAAAAGACTGGTTTTTGAGCAAAAACCCACACTACTATTCCTTAGATTTTGATCTTAAAATATAGCTTCGGGTCCGTGAATTTACCAGGACTTTTGCGAAAGGGGCCCTGGGTGTAAAATAAGTTAATAAATGTGTGTACACCACTGCATCCCCCCCGACTTAACATGTACTTTTGCTTCTATAAATGATTTAGTTTTTACTCTCTTTTTAGACTTCAGGCTTGTCAGGTTCCATTGAATCCATAGACTTCTCCTGTATCCATGTAAGTACGGTACAGCTTTTCTGTTATTTAAAAAAAATGCACAGATAGTGACCGATTATTAAGGGTTCAGTGTACTTACAAAAAGCTTTGAGCCACAATGAGCTAGCTTGTGTCCAGGCACCCATGCCACTCAAACAGATCAAGCAAATACTTAACAGTTATTGGACGGTGTTGAGCAAAATATCCTGATCTGTCAGTGGTAAGCGGTTTCAATCAGTTATTTGCCAAAGCTGAAGGCTGATGGAAATAATTAATCTGCGAGACACTGACAAATCAGTATATTTTGCGATACCTGAGTTCAATAATTGTTTCATCATTTGATGATCACCAAGTTTGTTTTCATATTTAAATCACTCTCTGACAGCTCAGGGAAGTGATCTGCCATTTTTCATACAAGTGCATGGTTATAATTATACATGAGCAGAATTTTTTTTTTTTCAGCAAAACACATTTAAAAGGGTACCATGCATGAGTGGACCATTTTTTGTAGGCATTTATTTGCAGGTCACATGGTGGGCTCTTGGCCAAAAGGAAGAAAAATGTATCAAATGATAAATATTAGATAAAAAAATATGGCTAAAAATTTGAACTGGCTAGAGGACAACCAGCTGGCTATTTACCATGCTAAGCATGACTGAGCATGAGCGAAACCATACTGGTTTCTACTGTTCTATAAAATAACTGAATCAGATATACTATGTGTGCTCTCATTGGTCGATAGGTGTGTTTAGATGAGAGTATGAAACAGTGTTGTGACGTTTTAGATTCGCTTGTATTTTTGGGAAATATTTTATAAAAGCAATAGAGTACTTTGTTTTTGGTACATAGCTTCATCTAAACACTCAGGGGATTGGGAGAATTCAAGACTTCTCTAGAATCATCTAGAATTCTACCAACCCCCCTCGTGTTTAGACGAGGCTATATAACCACAGAAAAAGTGCTCTTAAACTTATGCTTACAGTGAAATAGAAATTAGTCTCAGATTTTTCAGAATGACTCAGAAACCCAGGAAAAGGGATTTTAGGGAGTTAGAATCCAAAATATTTCCTAAAGGAGCATCACTCCAGGACCAGGCTTTTAAAGCCAGAATTTGAAAAGTGGCTATCTGAAATGTGCTATAGGGCCTGCTCAAATGAACAATTTATAAGGCAATATTTGAAAATGAAGCATTTTTTGTTATCAGACTAAACGCCTACCCAGGACACACTAGAAACATTCACGTTCATTGCTCATTGATTTCGGATGTCGGCCACCATTTATCCTAGATTCGCATGTGTGAGGAGTTGAACAAGGGACTACCAAGAACAAATCCATTTAGTGGCAGAATGTGTAGTACTCATACAGTTGCATGAGCATTCAGTTTTTTTTATTTAGACTTGAAATGAATTGTTGGAATTTTTGGTTTCAGTGGGGATACCTGAACTGCATGTGCTTGAATGATCTGAAGAAAATAAAGGTGAGAGTAGAAATTCATGGCTTAAATGTTTCCGGTGACACATTCGAATTCACTACTTGTGTAAAGTGCTGTACAGTCGGATTCTAACAGCCAACATCCCTGCCCCCAAAATGTTATTTGAGTCTTCATCTGTTACTTGCCCTTTTAATGAACCCTATTCAGGGTTCACCTCTATCAAGCAGATGCCTCCTCAAAAGAAAAAAAAAATAAATTTATTGTCCATTGGTAATAATAATTACATTGTCTTTTTGTTAAAACCCTCTATTAAGAAGATGCCAGACTCAATTTACTCTGGCAGTATTGGATTGTGTTCTTGAAAATCACTTGAACTGTGAGCAATTAATATTTTTGGTAATTTTTTTTGGTGACTATAGAAAAAAATGTTCTTCATGTAGATTAATAAGCCTTTTTTTACAGTGTATAAATGCTTAATACTCTTGCTAATATGAAGATTGAGCCCTCATTCAGTCTATGAGTACTAAAAAAATGTACAAAAAAATGTCAAATGTTCAATGTTTGAGTGTACTCGCTGTAACATGTCTGACTCATTTGTAACTTTAATTTGCTAGGACAACGTGTGGCAAACATATTGGGTTGACTTGTGTGGGTCGACACTCAGACTCTACAGGGTAAGATAATGTAGTGGAATGCCTCTCTATTGCTTTGTCTGCATTTCGTGTCCTAAATCTGTAAGCCTTTCTGAATAAACCTTAACAGGGCTCCGAGCTCAAATTTTTCGGAAGAGATCACCTTTTGGTGACCTCTTTCTGTAATAAAAATGTTCTCCACTGGGACAAAGTGGAGGACACTTCATGTCACTTTTGTTTGTAACTGATTGTTGTTGTTTTTAAACAGTCTTAATTGCTATTCAGGAAAGTCAATATAAGTAAAAAGAAACAGAGACAAAAAAGAGACAAGCATACAAAAATTGTGGTTGAATTGTTTGGCCTATAATGATTATACTAAACAAACCTTGTTGATGAATAACTTGTCTTTTGTACAGCAGTTAGTCTGTCACCAAATTGGTGACCAGTGCAGCACAAAAGGCACAAAATGGTCGTAACTTGGAGTACTGCCTAATTCTGGTCTGACTACCTTTACTTGCTCTTTCAACAGGACTTGTCTCTACCTGGAAATTCAGGTGAACATCTACCCCCTTCAAGTCTCGTTGGACCTACAAATGAGGTATGCTAATTTCATAAATTAAAAGCAAGCACACACCTGATACAAGTTAAGTATTTAGCAGAACAGCTATTTAAAGACAATTAGACAGTCCTTTCCCACCATCCCACCTCCATAAGCACGTAAAGGACATGACACCTACGTGTACCACAGTACCACTTGTAAGAGGATAGACTACATGCCTGCCACGTCTCTTGCAAGTGGGTACCTTCCAACATCAGGGAGGTGCCACAAGCAGAAGTCTGTAGGTGGACACCACTTGTGCGGTACTTTATACTGTAAACTTCCGAAAATAATGACCCTTTACTTTTGGAATTAGCAGCCTTTGGGGCTTGATGATGATCTTGTTTATCTGCTGAAATTTAGAATGAAAAGAAAGAAGCTTTCATCATCTTAAAAAAAGGCACAGAAGTATCAATTGTGGAACCTGGATCTGAGGTGAGGCTGCAAGTACATGTACAAAATTTAAAGTTTGTAAATTAATAAAAAAAAAAAAATCATTTGTCAGTTGACATTATAGTAGTATACAGTACAGTGTATGTAAGGGATCAAGGTTCAGAATCCAAAACACAGACTCTACCGACCCCTTTTTCCTTGCCCAATTTGCAGTCAGTTTATTTTATTGCAGTTACATATGATTATTTTGTCTTCTCTCTAGCCGTACAAGTCTCGGAAAACGAGATTCAGTGTGAACAGAAAACACGTATTCAGAGTTTCCTTTGCTAGCCGAGGAACAAATTCACCATCTTACCTGTTTCAGGCCCCCTCTGTAGGCAGCATGTATCGATGGTATGTTTTTATAGTCGGTAGCTGTTGTGACTGGGTTGAGTCCATCCTAAGATAAAAACTTTTTCTTCTCTACCATTTGATGTTGGAACTTAAAAAGTACATGTAATCAGCAGCTATACAAAAGATGGGGTGCCTCAACGTTTGCATAATTTTGATTACTGTTGCAAACTCCTGTTTCATGTAGTCTATAAAATATTCATGAACAATAATATTAAAATTTTTATTAATATTTTTGTCAGATTGCACCTTGAACTGTTCAAAACAAATTTATTGTAAGGTTTAATATTTATTTATTGGTTGATCAACAGGATTAGTAAAATTGAAGAGGGTGTTGACATGGCCGACAAACCGCAGGTACATCTAAGCATTGCATCCAGCCTCATAGGTCTGCAATGTGTGCATAGGGCATGTTTATCTACATTTATAAGCCTTATTGGCTTTCCTGGGCTTCCTTGCCTTATTCATTGATGGTTTGATAGTTTGATAGTTCTTTGTTAGCATAGGCTAATGCAAACAGAGATATTCATAGATTACGATAAAATGTTATGCTTCACTGTACATTTAATTTTGATCCTTTTATTTCATTCCTATAAATTATATGCATGTTATAAAAATTATTGTTGATGCTGATGTAAATTTCCTTCTGTATTTTCTCTTTTAACCCCACCTGGATGGATGACTGCCAACACAGAATGAATCTGCAACAGGTATATTTGTATCTTGAATAATGTGAAAAAGTGCACTGCTTAAGTTACCACATTAGTGTCATTGAAGGTAGCAATATTTTACATTCATACACAGGGCCCACAAAAAGTGCCTTCCAGTTGTCTGTGACAAGTAGATTTTCCTGTGGGGCAAGTGACTTTTCATGTCCACTTGCATGACGGACGGACAGAGGCCCAGAAAAGTCATTTGCCAATTAAGTCAAAAATAGGCATGGGCTTATCCTGGGCAACCAAAATTTGAGAGTGAGTTGTCTAATGGGCAAGCTCAAATTCCAATTATTTTTTAAGCTTTGCATGTATAAAGCAGACCCTTTTCAGTGTTGGTACTTAATTCTATATCTTGTGCAATCTCCATTTTAAAACAGAACTGCACCCTTAATTAAGAGATCTGGGTAGAGACTCTTAATTGGGAATGACGACATGCATCATCATCACCATCAGTCCTCATCATGCCATCGGATGCATAAGGCCTTAGTTAACATTCGTGCAGTGTGATACTGTATATTCACAAACTAAAGCATTTGGTTAATAACTTTCAAACCAAATCGAGCCTGGTCTTACCCCATGGCATCAAGCCCTTTTTACATATTTTCCCACCCAGCCATCTTACTGTATTCTGTCGAGTTAAGTATGTACTCATATGCTGTGCCTTACGTGCTTTCTGTAGCAAAATTGCATCATTATTGTCATATTAATACATGCATTTCAAGATAACTTTGTACAGTATGTCATTTACTTGTAAATGCTGTATTGAACCTCTTGTAAATGCTTTATGACAACTTTAACTCTTTAAATTACAGGTAGAGGTCCTATGTCAGAATTCATTTGAATAAAATAACAGTGATCATAACTGATTATTGTCATTGACTCTGAGTTGCAGAACAATCAACAATATTATTGTTACTTAACACTTTTTATTACAGTACATTAATTTGTTTTTAAGACAAGAGCTTCATTTAAACAGAATGAATAATGATTTTTAAACAATTTTGAGTAAATTTAATTCTCTGATTGTTCATATTTGTTTGTAGTTGTTTCGGCTCTAACTTCTGCGCTAACCTATTTGAAGGGCTTTTCACTAAGTAAGTTGCTTTTGTCAGAGTAATAAGGATCTTGCAATTAATTTTTAATTTTGTTAACACGTTGTTAACAAAAATGTCATCTGCTAGTGTTGAGTTTTGTTGTCAATCAAAAGAGTTTGCAGATTCAGTCTTTCGAATTTATTTAAACTAGCAAAGTTTGCACCCTTAACCTTCTAAATCAGTTGTTAATTTGCTTAACATGAACATCTCTAACCAGAATGTGTTTTACATTAACATGCCATTTGAAATTACTGTGATAAAATTAATCTAATAAACTAACTCGTAGCAACGTTACTGACTGGGCACTTATAAAATTGAGCTGGTGTTATGCATCCACATTTTATATCTTTAATGGCACTATCTTAGGTTCTTTTGCTCTAGAAGCTCCTTGTTAGCAGAATCTACTTTCTCAGTGGGTAACTTCAAGGTCGAGTGTTTAACCAAGAAAGGCTACAGAAACTTTGGTGACCACTAGTAAAAGAGATGCCTTAAAATGTACATTCTGTTTTGTCAGTAAGCAAATACATAAGTTGCATATTTTCACGAAGTTTGATGGGGTCCACCTCATGTACATGTCATGTCGCCGTATTGTGGCCATTGCGGCCTGTCTACAGCTATTTTGCCACCATTGCTTTACCCTTGAGAATGTAGGTCTTGTAATCAGGGACGTTACTTTTATCTAGTTTCCTTGGCGTTGTGTGACAGTCAAAGTAACGCAACACAGCAGCCAGGGCAACGTCTGTGTGCGGTTAGCCAAGTATGTTTTTTTGTGTCACAATCTCTTTTCAGAGAAAAGATTAAAAGAAGCGAAGTTGCTTTCTATGGAGCAACGAAGACTACACATTGCTCCCAAACAGTAAGTTATTTAGATAAAGAAAAAAAGCCAGTCGATCTTAAAAAGAAAAGCATTCTTTATTGCATAGACGCTTGGGAAATCTGGATGCATAATTGTCTTTGCTTTTCGTTTCAGGAGGTACCTTGATAAAGATGATATTGACTCCGGAATGGAAGGTAAAGTATTAATTATCTACCTGCAGTGCAGATGATAACTGGAGGGGTAGGGTAGTGAGTGTGTGTTATGGGAATGAGTGGGGCATAATTCGTATACAGAATCACCCGCAGTGGACGCAAGTGCGAGGTTTAAATTATGGCAACAACAAATGAGCGATGTTTGTGAAGTTTTCCAATTGAAGGCACATGTACATGATCCTTATATTAAAACAAGAGAAATAACATAATTTTACTGCAAATTAGATCTCTGTCAGGTAGTGTTCTGTTTTTTTTTGTTTTTTTTTGAAATTGGGAATTTACGTTGTTTGTGATCAATGATAAATGTAAATGCATGGCGTCAAATAGTAGTTTTCGTTTTTTAGGTGATGTAGAAGAAGCTTACGAGATCACCAAACAAAATGCTGAAAATCCTCATGTGGATATCTTAAAGGTTTGTAGGCTGTCTTCAATCTCACTGTAACTGTTTTTCTGGCCGTGGAAGTTTTCAAAAAAGCGAAATTTTGAAAATGCAGGGATTAATCTTTCAATTTATGGATTAAGAACTCGATCAACTTTACTGAGAAATTATAGAAAGCAACTTCGTTTCGGAAAGAAGACATTCCAGTGAAATCCCGAATAAAACTTTGAAAATGTGAGCTTTCCATTTTCACTTTTGTCCGTGTTTCAATCGTTNTCTACCTCCCAATTCAAATACGTTATCCGATTGGAGAAGAACGTATCAACGTGTCATAGGTCAAAGCTCACAAACTCCCTGGGGAAAAAACAACTTGAACTTTGGACTCGCACGTGATCAGGTCGTGCACCTTGAAACCGCCACAATTTTGTGTGCCAGCCGGCGTCAAGCAAATCATTTTTTCGTACAGTTTTCTCTATTTTTGAGTCGGGAGGTACAACGAAACACTTAATGACTGGCCTCAAGGGAAACAGTGAGTTTTGTTTCCCCTCCCCACTCCCGGGAGCAGAACTCACAGTTTCCCCTAGGGCCAGTCATTAAGTGTTTAATAACAGCCTGTCGAGAAATGTTTAAAACGTTTTCGAACTTTTCATCGTAGAAACGACTGCAAGACATGCAAGACCTCGTTCAACAGTTGGAGATGGAGGAGGAAGCGTTCTTAGGCACAAAGGATGCGAACTGTAAGTAACTGAGACTTCAAGATCTTAGACTAACTTCTGAAGGACTTGCATCCCATCCAGGGGGTCCAGGGGGGGAGTGGCTAATACCCTAGTCACCTCTCGGGCCAGTAAGGTTCGAAAAGTCTTTATTTTTTTTTTTGCGCCTTTCTGGGTCTGGCAAAGGTAAAAAGGTAAAGCCTGCATAGGAGCCAAGTGGCCCATCAGGCCAGCGTTTATCTCTGGTTCTATGTACCATTATGCGACTAGAAGTATTTCTACTCCCCCTTGGTGGGGTGCTAGTCAATCGCAGGGTTACCCCGTAGGTTACACCCCTCTCCNCCCCCCTAATTCTAGCATTAAATTCGGCAGTACTCAGTTATACAGCTGGGTAGAGAGAGGCACTGTGAGAGTAAAGTGTCTTGTCTAAGGCACTGACCTATAACTAACTGGTTTCTTTTCCGTTTCAATTTTATTTTAGTGGTGAGACGGTGTGAGTTCCAGTCAACAACGAACAAAGACTACTGTCTCGTTCCCGGTTACCCTCGGACACTAATCCCTAAAGGAACTGAACTAACAATACTTGGACAATTTTCAAACAATCGCTGGAGATGCTACGTTGAACGTCCGAGAAAAACATCGACGAGACTCACAAACGGACAGCATTCAGGATCCTCCTCTGAAGTTGGGAGTATTTCATCGTTTGATACAACGGAAGATGAAAGCCGTACGGATAATGATATTCTAATCGGAAGTGTTCCCAACAGTTTACTCGTGGAGTTAAGCAATCTTGCTGCTTCAAAACTCAAATTCGAAGACGGAACACCCGTAGCTTCCCCTGGGGATACCCCACAATTATCCCCTCTTCCCACACCCCCGCTGTCCCCGTATTCTCCCCATAAAAACGAGCGGGATTTACTTCCGAATGAACGAAGTTCTTTACGACGATCGATAGCGAGTGAAAATCTAAGTGAGCAGGACATCTGGGAACAATTTTGCATTCCCTCCCCTCCCTCGTCGCCCGTGACGTCACGATCAACCTCCCCCTCCCTTTCCTTGTCGTGTTCCTTAGGGGGATCGTTAGAAGATCTCGATGTGGAGAGTACAGTAAGTAATGAGAATGCAAGACCCGAGGAAAGTGAAAATTATCCTGAAGTTGCTCTTAGACAGAGGAAAGATGGAGGGACAAACGAACTGAATTTCAGAAGTCATAGAGAAGCTATTCTAATGGACGATGACATACCAGAGACTTACATAGGAAGCGAGTCAGAGGATGATAGAATGGTTACGGTTATTGACGAAGTTCCGCCTCATGAAACGTTGGAATTCGAGAACTTTGAACAAGAACCGGTGAAAATGCGAGTCAAGAAGAAGCACTCAAAACGAGATGCTGGTAGGTTGATGTTAAGTTAAGAAAATTTCTAGCCATCTTTTACGGCTTGAACAGTACAACAGCAAAGTACTGCTTAATAGCTTTCATTTGAATGGTCACACACTAGGGTCTCATACACAGATTTAAAAGTTAGAACTACCTTGTACAGCATAATAAACAGTACCACATGAAAGTACTGCTCAATAGCTTTCATTTGAATGGTCACACACTAGGGTTTCATC